GCTAATAGGTACATTGGTCACGGAGGGGATAAACGGCTTCATCAATGCAACCTCTTCCTGCGAGAGAAGTCACGGTGACGAGATCTGAATCTCCAGGACCCTGAGCGCTCGAGTCATGATATGATCCCTGAAAGCATTGCAGACAAGCCCGCAATCCACAAAAGGTGTGCCCTAACTTAGGTCGATTCAATGATCCTGCTGTTTTTGTTGTAGTCCCACCTAGGCATGATTGGTGGACTCTTCCTTGCCCAGCTGCCAAGCTGTCAGATACAAGATACAAGATGCAAGATGCCCTCGAGGACAAGATTGTGAATAAGTAGAACTTGTGAAAGTGCACCCCTTATGATAGACTGAAGAAGGCGGGAACTTCTCATGGGGCGGCCTTTGACGCGGGTGAAATGAGGTTCGGGCTGGTTGTCCCTCGCAACCGGAAGCTGGGAGCCAGTTGCTTGGCAAGTCAACAACGATCACTGGCAGTGGCAGATGCATCACCAAAGCGAACACTTCCTCTCCGTCCAAAGACAAGTGTTGCCCCTCACATGCAACTGTAAAAGAGATCCCTAAACAGCCACCCATGATTGTATGCCATTCTTCGCATTCTTCGCGTTCGCCTCATTCGATCTTCGGCACAGTACAACTCCGGCAAAGATCACAACAGAGCATTGACAACAACCAAGATGAGCGCGGCAGGCGGCGCATCCTCGATTTCTGTCACTGTTCGAGTTCGACCTTTTACCATCCGAGAGGCTGCTCAACTCACCAAATGCGATGATAGTCCATTTCTTTTGGGGGATGGCTCACTGGCTGCTGTGCCGACGCCCAAACTGGCTCAAAAGGGTCTTCGCTCCGTGATCAAAGTCGTGGACGACAAGTGCTTGTATGTGGATGAATTCGCATCATAATGAGCCAGCTGACACCGAAACAGAGTCTTCGACCCTCCCGAAGACAATCCCGTGCAAAAGTTCTCGAGATCCGTGGTACCGCAAGGCAAACGTGTCAAAGATCAAACGTTCGGCTTTGACAGGATATTCGACGAAAACACCTCACAGGGCGATGTCTACGAGGCTACCACTAAATCACTGTTGGAAAGTGTACTGGACGGATACAACGCGACTGTCTTCGCATATGGCGCAACAGGTTGCGGGAAAACACACACCATCACAGGTACTGCTCAGCAACCAGGAATCATTTTCATGACCATGCAAGAGCTGTTCGAGCGAATAGGAGAGTCCACAAGCGACAAAGTGACGGAGGTGTCGTTGTCGTACCTCGAGATATACAATGAGACGATACGGGATCTGCTGGTTCCCGGTGGCAGCAAAGGGGGTTTGATGCTAAGAGAGGACGCCAATCAAGCCGTGTCTGTGGCTGGCTTGTCGAGTCACCATCCACAAAATGTCGAGCAAGTCATGGAAATGATTATGCGGGGCAACGAACTCAGAACAATGTCCCCAACAGAGGCGAATGCCACATCGTCACGATCCCACGCTGTGCTGCAGATCAATGTGGCGCAAAAGGACCGAAATGCAGCGGTCAACGAACCACACACCATGGCCACTCTGAGCATTATTGACTTGGCTGGGAGTGAACGCGCAAGTGCCACCAAGAATCGAGGTGAGAGACTGATAGAAGGGGCAAATATCAATCGGTCACTTCTTGCTCTTGGTAGCTGCATCAATGCGTTATGCGATCCTCGAAAACGAAATCACGTCCCGTATCGAAATTCAAAACTCACGCGACTGCTGAAATTCTCCCTCGGTGGTAACTGCAAGACGGTCATGATTGTATGCGTTAGTCCTTCGAGCCAACACTTTGACGAGACGCAGAATACATTGCGGTATGCGAATCGGGCCAAGAATATCCAGACGAAGGTGACGCGAAACGTGTACAACGTCAACCGCCATGTGAAGGACTTCCTCGTCAAGATTGATGAGCAGATAGCTTTGATCAATGAGTTAAAGGCTAAGCAGAAGGAGCAGGAAAGTATCGCGTTTGCCAAGTTCAAAAAGCAAAACGAGAAAAAGGAATCCATAGCTCGAGAAGGCATTGCTAGGATCCGAGCTGCACATGAGAATGCGGCGGCAGAACGACAGGAGAAAACCAACAACATGATCAAGCTGCGGCAAATTGGCAGACGGATTGCTATGTTATCGTCTTGGATTGCAGCATTCGACAATGTGTGTGACAATTTTGAAGCAGAGGAGCCAATGAAGAATATGCAGGCAATTCGAAGGACAGCACAAGGAATTATGGTTGAGCTAGAGAATAGCAGACATCATTGCAATCAAAAGCTAGCCAAAAGCACATGGGACAGATCGCTGAACTCGGCGTTGGACAATGGCTTACGACAGCTGAAAGAGGTTGAAACTGGCGATGCCTTGGACGCAGCAACGTTGAGCAGAGAAGTTGAACTGCTGAAAGCGAACGTCGAGCGCGACGCTCTGCTTGCAGTGGCAGAGCAAGACAAGCTTGGTGATGCAGCAACTGTCCAGGTACTGCTGCAAGCTCATTTCGAAACGATATCACACATTGAAAGCTTGAACCGGATGAGCGTGGACGAAGCCGTGGAGGCAGCAACCGGCATTCTCAATAAGATGCTGATGTCGTGCACTAAAGCCACATCTCATGTTGTCAAGCCGGACGGCAGTATAGCGCCTGTTGAGCTCTTCGCTCCGACGAAGTCAGGAACACCGAAGCGAAGAAAGGTCAGCGCAGTTCCAGGCGTCTCGCCTGTTAGACCGGTGATGCATGCTGCATTGGCAGTGGCACCTCACCTTTCCTCAACCCCGGTGAAGAGCTCTCCAAAGCGAAAATTGATGGGCAGCGCCAGGAAAGGACTGATTATCACCCCCAAGAAAAGGAGATCTCCGATCAAAGGACTGAAGAGGGGTGTCCGATGGAGAGATGACACCGAAGATGGCGCACTGGCCGAGTTCGAAAAGACACCTCAAAGACCAGAACATACCCCAGACGCAGAAGTTTCCAGCGCTGATGCGACACTCCCACCCGTTTCGACTCTCACAACTTCGCCCTTAGAAACTTCCAGAGAGCCTGATTCCTCTCCACTACCCGACCCCCCACAAGCAGGGATGCCGGTCATCGAAAGCAAAAACAATCGCTTTAAAACCGGCTTCCTATCCAAGAGATCCGACACTGGCTCACCACCCTCGACATCCATGCTCCCACCAGCACCTACGATGACCCGCCTCTCCTCCTCAGACACCGAGCAATCTCCCCTCCGCGACATCGAACCAGGCCACGCGCACAACCGCCGTTCCTCTAACAATCCACCTCCTGCCTCCACTGCAGAAAATTCCGGCTCCGATACGGAGAACAAACCGTCTTCCTCCTCCTCTTTCACCGCGGCTGCAAGCACAAAATCCGAAGCCATCAAGATCCGTGCCGCCATGAAACGCGCCTCCCTCGCCTCCACTTCGGCTGGGACGCCAGCTTACATGCAGTCGCACTCGAGGAGCCAGCACCGGAGGAGAAGCCCTACCGCTGCTACGGCTGTTTCTTCGGGATCACCGCCTAATGGGGAAGCTTTGTTTTCGGCCGGGCAGGCGAGGAGAATGAACAATGGGAATGGGAGGAGTGAGAAGGAGCATAGCCAGGAGTGGAGGGCTGGGGTGCTGAGTCCGAGGGTGACGGGAGTGGTGGGGAAGAGTGGCGGAGTTAGGAGGATGACCATGATGGGTGTGGGTGAAGAGAGGAGGGGGGAGAGGGCTGAACGCGCGCAGGGCATTGGCATTGGGCAGGGGCATGGGCATGGGCATCAGAGGATGAGTAGTGTGAATGGGAATGCGCATGGCGGTGGTGCGAGTAGAGGCTCGCTGATGCCGGGTGGGAAGGGCGTTTGGCGATAAATGGACTGCGGAGTACAAGGGATGGACATGTGGCCGGTATTGGGCATTGGTCATGGACCTTGCTTGGTAGGAAAAGGTGTTTGGTGGAGTTGGCTATCGATACTATGCTGGGTCTGGCTGTGAAGGCCAAGAGGGCTTGGCTAACAACTTCAATGTATATCATCGTTTCCAGACTCTAGCTCTATGGGAACATCTTGGATGATTGCCATCAAAGGGATTGGTCTATGTTCGCTCTTCCCATATTCTTTGCGAGAAGGTCATCATAATACGTTGCTTAGGAAATTGCATCGAAGAGGTTGCTACATGCCATGTATTTTTTTCATTATTGAATATGTGAACGAGTTTAATCACAGTTCCGTCCAACACATACGCTTGATACAGTCTCATTCAGGCAACGGTATTTTGTCCTTTTCATAATTCTTGTGTGCTGGACACTCGTAGCCGCCCGGGTTATGGTCCAAGTAGAGTTGATGATAGTCCTCAGCATCATACCAGGGGCCCGCCATCTTCACTTCCGTCGTCACCGGGCGCTCTGTCCACCAATACTTGCCCACCTTTTCCTTCACATCCTGCGCGATCTTCAATTGCTCCTCGCTGTTCGCAAAGATGGCAGATCGATACTGCGTCCCCATATCGCCGCCTTGCCGGTTCAAAGTGGTCGGATCGTGCATGTTGAAGAAGAACTCCAGCAGCTTTCGGTACGAGACCTTGTCTGGGTCGAACATGATCAACAGGCTCTCAGCATGGCCCGTGGTGCCGGAGCAGACGCTGCGGTAGGATGGCGCTTTCGCCTCCCCGCCCGTGTAGCCGACACGAGCATCTAGGAGGCCGTTTCCGTTACCGAACTTCTTGCGGAAGAGGTGCTCAACGCCCCAGAAGCAGCCGGCTGCCAGGGTGGCTTTTTGCGTGTTCTCGGGGAATGTTTGTGCGGAAAGGGACTCCGGATGGTAGGAGAGAGAGGTCGAGCTTGTGAAGGGTCGGAGGAAACGAGACAGGAAGGAGGGCATGCTGGATGGGTTGAAGGCCATGAGTATGGTGGCGCTGAGTAGGGCAATCAGGATGGTGGAAAGTGCGGTTGATGACTTGGGGGCCTTCAGCTTGGCAACGGTATCGACAGAGAAGATGTCTGGGGAGAGAACAGTATATGTATATATACATATATGCCAGACAGGACCACGAAACTCAAATAACCGTCTGAACCTGCATAGTAATCAGATTCAAGCAGCGAAGCCCATCGAACAGTCCGAGGCGGCATGGCGTCATCGATCCTGGATCTTAGTGTCCTTGGCGCATCTTGATTCCAGATCAAGCCGATTATGTAAGGTCCGGACGGCTTAACGACCTTTTCTTCGCTCCTGCCTCCGCCATCAAGCTCTTCGTGACTGCTTGGGGCAGCTTCCGCTTTCGTGACCTCCATGGCATTTGGGCAACTGCCACTCTGAGCTGTTACTGTTAGGGCTTCAACCAGCGTTCTTGCAGGCTCAGGTAGCCCGGTGTACGCGCCCAGCGTGATTGGCTGCCTTTAAAGGCGACACGCCAACATGGCTGTGCCGCAGACGATGCATCAGCCTGCTTGCCACCACATTCATCTTCTCCCATTGATTGGCCAGGCAGGTTGCCCTTTTGGTCGCCACTTTCTGACCGATGCTGCCTATATGCCACTGCTCTTCCATCTGTGAAAGGCACCCAACCACCTCCACGGCTCGCAATGTGCCCTTTTTCCTTAAGCTTCCTGCATGTTACCAATTGGTCTCGTTCCCTACTCTGACTCAATTCTTCAGCGTGTTACGTCTCCTATTGACTCATCCTTTCGTTGTGCAAGGTCAACGTCTCTCTCTCTGTACATCTGATGAGGCGTATATATGCTCAAAGAAAAGCGAGCACGTTCCAGATATGGGACGTACAAGCACAAGCGGCTTTGTCACAAGCGTAGTGAGATTCGCCTGATCAGACTGAAGGCTGCAAAAGCGATACGAGATGTGGTTCACTGCGATGTTTTCCTGGTGCCCCTTGAGCATGCCCCTAGGTTTGAAGCGATCTCTTATGCTTGGGGTAATACTTCCGATCTAAGGCCGATTGGCATCAATGGAGACAAGCATATGCTGGTTTCTAAATCGCTAGAATCCGCATTGAGGTACCTCCGTTATCAGGGCAAGGAACGGCTTTTGTGGGCAGATGCAATTTGCATCAACCAGAAGGATATCCCAGAAAAGAACAAAGCCGTTTCAAAGATGCATTCGGTCTACCAGCGTGCTGAACGTGCTATTGTTTGGCTGGGGTCTTCATCCCATCCATGGTCGTTTCAGCCAATTCTTGATGCTCTTGAAGATGAAGAGAGCAATGAGGACCTCTTCACATGGAGATGCCAGATCTTGACCAAGCCACACCGACGTGCTCGAGCAATCCAAGGTTTCGCCAAACTGCAATGGTTCTTTCGCGGTTGGGTCGTACAGGAGACATGCTTCGCGCGTGAGGTGATAGGTCAATACGGAAAACATGCGATACCCTGGCGACAAATTGAGCATATGGTGGACCGACTATCCATTACTGCGAGCGGTACCATGAGCGGGATAATGCGCCCTGAAGGGCGACTCATCCTTAGGCTAATGCGGGTTGTATCTACCTTACGCAATTTACGTGAGCATCATCACAAAATGCAGCCAATGGATTTGGCACATATGATGGCTTTCTCGAGAACACGGATGACTTCGGATCCTCGTGACAAGGTCTTTGCCTTCGTTAACCTTCTATCGAAGATCCCTTCTAGTTTGCAGCCAGACTATAACAGATCGACGCCAGGACTCTTTCGGGAAGTTTGTCGACTGCTTCTAGACGAGATTGGCTTGAAACTGCTGGCTGAGTGTGAGGCACCTACTAACACCGGCCCTGGCATTAGTCACTGTAGGATGCTATCCTGGGTACCTGATTGGTCTTACACCAGGCAATGTGAGCCTTTTCCAGGAGGCCTGTCCCTGACCCATCTCGGCGAGAGCTACCGCGCAGGTTCATATGGGCCAGCAAGCTTTGTTTATTCAGCGGATTCTGCAATTCTCCACCTCACAGGTTCCATATTCGCTACGGTAGTCTTTCTTGAGCCTGGGGGTCAAAACCAGTTGAGCGATGGTGTCTTGCAGCACACGTTGTGGGAAAACGTGACCACAAGATGTCAAGAGGCTGCAGCGGGCACACTTCTCAGCAGTTTCACCTCCTCTGGCTGCCCTGCCTTTACCAATCACATACTGAGAATGGAGCATCTGGATAGAACCTTTGAAGGGGAGAAGACAGATGACTTGGAAAGTTTCCATCGAGCACGCTGGCCGCAAAACTTGCGGAGGGTGGACGGTCGAAGCATTCTCTTGACCTCAAAAGGTCACCTGGGCTGGGCACCACCAGCAGCAGTCGTTGGCGATTTCATCGCTGTTTTTCCCGGGTGCCATGTTCCTTTGGTTCTTAGAAGAGTACATGTGGAGAGGTTCGTTGACGTGAATCTTGTTGTTGAGCATGACGCCTGCGGCTGTACTCAAGCCATCTGTGGAGCTGAGGAATCAGCTTTCTACCGCATCATAGGAGAGGCCTGTCAGTTCTTCATTGCACTTTCGAGATAACATCGCTGACCAAATCTAGACGTTCAGGGCATAATGGAGGGTGAGGCACTGGCTAGCACTGATGAGCTCAGCAAAGACAACAAACTAGAAGAGATCGCAATTGTGTGATGAGTGGTGCGGAGTAGTGGGCCAACTGGGTACTATTTCCTTTCCTCACTATCTCGTGTGTTCCCCTAGGCTTCCAAATATCTGGCATTGTCACCACCTCGCTTGTTCTTCTCAGAAATACAACCTTCGCCATACTCATTTATCAACCATAATCCGTCTACCTCACTGTCAGTCAATCCAGCTCCAACGCCGAGATATCTCTTCAGGGGTAACAGCTTGGCAACTGAATACTCAGTACTCGTCATTCCCACCATCTACGCTCACTGTCATCACAATGTCAGACAGCATCACCATCCCAGGCGGACTTACAGCACCTATCGCTACACTTCCAGAGAAATTCTTCCCCTTCTTGTCGCTACCCTACGAACTACGTAACAGAATCTATCATTTCGTGGCAGTCCGGCCTGATGGCTATATCGGTCAAGCTGACAATCAAGGCGGCGAATGCACCATTGGGAGAATCCAGGCCAGACTCCAAGCGCACCTCCCCAAAACTGTATTCGACAAGATCCATGTTCCAATCAACTGCCTCCACCCTGATCACGAGAAAATGCAACTTGCGAAAGACTTTCGCAACTATGGTTGCTTAAATATTACACATGTTTGCAGACAAATGCACAAAGAGTTCACCCCCGTCTTCTTTGAAAGGAATGGCTTTGAGCTTCGTGACGCATCCGCCTTTATAGCATTCGTCGTCAAGATGCAGGCTGTACATACTAGCCTCATTCGCAAACTTCGCATCTATCACACCATCACCCTCAATACGGACGACATTCAAGCAATCTTTGGGCAGTTGGGTGGTATCAGTGGAGACACTTTCTATTGTTTGCTTGAAGACAACTATCTTAATGATGCAACGTCATGTTCTGCCCTCCTCCACGTCCTCAGGGCCCTCATTGAATCGTGCAACAGCCTCCAACAATTCGATCTTGTCTACCGCCTAGAAGTGCCGGCCGAGCACTTCCACGTCTTGAATGCACTCAACACCCCCTACATCACGCAGCACGCTCAGAGTTGGCGCGGAGAGCCCATGCGGTGGGATCTCCACACAAAGAACGTCCTACAGAAGCTCCGACAGGACGAGAAGATGCGCCAGGATGATCCAATCGCGGTGGAGGTGGAGGAATTCAAGACCAACGACTTTACCAATCAGGTAGCTACCGCTTCTGGTCGTCGGCAGCTGTTCTTCGATGTCTACGCCGATGCTATGACGGAGGCGTGCCTCAGCCATGCTGAGGAATTAATCGAAGACGTTGTGCAGAACCGCACCAAGGAGGCTCCGTAAGCATATGGGTGGTAGTAGTGTTTTGTTTTTTGTTTTTGTTTTTCAAAATGTACATTAAATGAGACACAAGTGAGACAGAAGTGAGGGATGAGTGAGAGAAACTTACTCAAATACAATTCCAGATTTGTGAATTTCTGATGTGCTGAGGTGGGCACCCTGTGAATATACTTTTTTGTGCAAATGGTTTAACAAGATACTAATTTTCTAACTGGTGCCCTCTATATCCCTCACTTTACTTTGAAAGTTAAAATCATTTGGACTTTGCTCTTTCTACGCTGGTGAGCTCCCCATTCTCATTTGCTTGATTAGTAGCACTGCCAAGCAATGTCCTTTTGTTATTACTCACATGATAAAGAGGTAGACGGGATATGATACTGGTGATCTTTACGCCTTTACTTAATTGCATTATTTAAATTGGTGCTGTATTCTCCTGTTATCACTCTAGAGACAGCAAACCAAGTCTTATTAAATGCAAACAACCTCCCTGTCCTCTCATGTTGATATATATAACTCATATATAGAAAATCATGATAATATAACAGAGTCTATCAGCACCTCTTTTCATTACCCTGAGAAGCACTATGCTTTATTGTCTCACGCTTACAGAATCTGATATGCTCTGCAGCACCAGGCACCCGCCACGTTATCAGCTACAGCTGACGTGCAACCCTGGGATAAATGTGCAAAAGACTGCTAGCGTCCCCCTGAGTTTTGTGCCAAGAGTGCTTGGCAGGAGTGAAAGATTTGATGTTTCCTCATTCTTCCAAGCAAGCAAGGACAGCAGCAAACAATGAAGATTATGGTATAAGATGCTGTCAGTTTTCTTCCTATGTCTTGAGATGTGATTGGCATGGAGTCTATATATTGTATATAGACTGTAGTTTCACGATTGGGTACTGTCTATTTGTGCTTGGCATGGACCGATGTGTCTAGATGTATACATGACCGGTCCGTCAAGTGAAGTGATGAGTCGGCTATGGGAAGGAATTGCTGTGAACAGACGTGTTCTGGTGGACTGACAGTGATGTGGCGGTTTACTTGTGAACCGCAGGATCAACCTGCGGTTCTGCAGTACTTCTACCCTGTGCTTGACCCTGCTGGTTCACCACAGTTTCCATCATCCACCCCCTTCCTTAAGAACATACACATTCGATAAGCTATACTTTGTCCTTCAAGTGCCGGTACAGCTCTTCTTCTCTATCAAGCCAGCTCCTAGGAACAGCACGACGTTGTCAATACCAATAAGGCTCTGAAAACCCATCGAAGAATGTCTCCCTCAAACAACATCTCCTCATGGCACTCACAATCAAGGTGGAACAAACTTTCCCGTGCTGATGTGCATCCACCCATGCCAGCAAGACACACCGTCGGTCCGTTCCTCCTAGGTATTCCCCAAGAATGCCGAGATATGATCCTCAAGATGCTCCTTGAGAACAAGGCTCAGGCCTGGGATGATTATATCATCGACAAAGATGTACAACCCATCTACCTGCACATTCCTTGGGTCGGTGACAATGGTGATTCTGCATCTCCGTACAAGATCTCTGGCGACAGGATCAACCTCGGCAACGTCAGTGTCCTGCGTGCTTGCCGTCAGCTTCGTTGGGAAGGAGCCCACATCCTCTATGGGCACAACTCGTTCGTCACGTACAATTTTCCACAGCTGAAATACCGCCTCCATACCATCATCGGCCGAACGAACATGAAGTACATTCAGAGGGTCACCATTGGCTTGCCTATGAAACACAAGCGGGATCCCACACCTTTTCTCGGGGGGTTCTTAGAGTTCTTCAAGGAGAAACTTCCCAACCTGACAGAGCTCAACCTGACAACCCAGTTCTACCAGTTTGATAAACCGTTGATGCAATACTCGACCAACACCAGAATCGGCGAGGAATTTCGGGCCATGCTGAATACATCCGCGTGGGTCACTTGCAGACATCCTCAGCTGAAAAAGGCCATCTGGTTGGTGGAGTCGGGTGGCACCATGAGAGTGCCTCTTATCAACTGGGCAATGGTCGTCAACACTGATGTGGATGATGGTGCAAGTGACACTAACGAGCACGGGAGTGAGTCTGAGTATGCCGATGAGCAACACGACAATGGCGACCCTAACCTTCAGGAATCTCATAACGACCTTTTACAAACAGGTGGCATAGAATCCAGCAACAACGATGCCGCAGCGGGTGGCAAGGGCATCAATGACATGCCCCATGAGGATGACGACCCGGACGACTTTGGTAGAGACATGACCAATGATGTGCATCGATGTCGTCTCACGGTCAAGATTCTGGCCGAGGATCGTCGGTTCAAGATCCGAGAACAGGTCCGAATCGACTTGATTCCTCGAATAACAAAAGTAATTGCCAAGGTATGACCTGCCACACCAAATTTTCTCTCCATCTCACAAGCAGCTGACGAAGTGTGCATAGGATATCATCGTCGATAGCAGAGCAATCAGGCGTGCTGGGTGGGCTGATTTGCTTGCCAAGGACCCCCGCGACTTCGCGCTGGGCGAAAGTGCAACGTCTTCTGAGCCACCGAAGCCTGTCGTCATCCGAAGCCGAGATCATGGCGGCATGATCTATGCAAACTACGAGATCGTCGATGACTACCTTCGGGATCAGTTCAAGTATCTCTCGCTGAAGGACAAAATTCGTCTGACTCCTAAGCAAGTCGCTTTAGAGGATGATAGCTCAGAAGTCGAAGGTTCAGGGGAAGGTCCGGCTTGAAGAGAGCTTTGGGATAAATGAGGCTGTATAAATTCTGAAGTGTTGTTGGAGCCAGTTCTTCGGGAGTCCGGTTTTCTATAGTCAGTGACTCAAGTGCTGAGTTCACCGGTCTTTGGTGCTACATCACCTTTCTTGTGCAGCTTTTGGGAACCTGTCAGAATAGATAGCATCTGGAGCTTATTTTAACTACCTTGGCAGCAATGGCACTGTATCTCTCGGCTCTCTTGTTGAAGTTCATGGCCTTCCTGGAGGAACCTAATATCATTTTCTGTTCCAACACTGCGTTCCTTTGCTAATCCCACTGAACTCTGGGGTGATACAAAAGTCTGTGTGCTCGATGTATCTAGACATTATGCTCATGCATGCACGTTGTAGTACCTGTGATGAGACTAAAAGTCATCTTTGCCTATGTATTCTGCTCATTGCAGGACTCTGGACAGATCGAAGCTTCACAACCGAGCATGATCAACCTTACTGTGTCCTGTTTCCATGGCCGAAGTTAATTATGGGACAACCGTACGTGAACATTCTGACAAGACAGTACTCAAGACATGATAAAATGTACAAGAGCAGGAAGACTGGGAAAGGTTAGAGTGGAGATTTGCAGGCAAACAGTGGTTAAGCTGCCAAGGCTTGCAGAGAATTCCGGGAAGACAATTTTCAGGCTCAATATTTATCTTGTTCGCAGGACGCTCAGATACGCTTGATTTGATTTCATTAGATTCGTGCTATAGTACAGGGACTCCAATGTCCATTTATGAGCCTATCATTTCACAAGGCTTAGTACACACTCGCCAGACTGTCCGTATTCCCTTGTGAAGTCAAGGAACCTAGAGTCAGGCCTCTATTCCCTCTCACAGGCATGTAGTCTACCCAAAGGACCACCACTTGTTCGTCAGCGGCTGTATTCTCAAGTCTCTGTTCTTGTGTTGTTTGGTGCGGATTGGCAGTACTCCTGCAGCAAGCGAATAGAGACTTAACCGCTCCATCAGTCCTGCGACAACACCCTTAACGAGATTCCCATTGTCACTTGCAAAATCTGGCTATTCAAGATGTTACTGCAGCTCAGTCGACAAGGCTTAATACAATGCCATGATTCTAAGGTACTTGAGACTGAGTGCCTTGCGTTTGGCAATATCTTCTCAGTGCTCTTTCACCAGTCTATAAGCGCTCGAAGATCAGCCCGTGAATTACAGGATGTCAAGCTAGGGGGATTTGCTTCCTGCCTTACTGGGTGTTATCCATGATCATTTGCAGCATGCCAATCTTGGGTAGAGCTGCCTGGTGAGAGAATAAATATACGAACTGCTCCTTTGTCATCACGCTGCTTCCAAGAGAGCTATGTGAGTGCCCTAAATGCATGATGTTGCAGACTTGATGGGCTTATAACTGATGACAAGTCTTTGCTCTACAATGGAATCTATGAGAACTGACATCTCTCTAACAAAGTAAGGTACGAACACGTATTTGATATCTGTCTGGAAAGCTGCAGTTGCATGAAAAGATTCACACGTTAGCCTGATGGGGCGACGAACACATGGGTGTCACAATGCTTGAAACACGAGTGAACGTTTGATTTGCAACCTTCATAAAGATGTCACATCTCCCTCGACGAATAGACTTACTACGAAATCATCTCTACCAACATACTCTTTTCCAGTCTCGCGATAAAAGCCTGTTAGGTTGACCAGTATCATCATGAACAATCTCACATATTCTTCGGCAATTCGACCCAGCACTCAACCAGCAGCCATTCTCGCCAACACTGACAATGTGCCCCTAACAGAAGACTCCTTGGTAGATAGGCAATATAGTTTGATACCTCGACAGACTCCACTCCAAATCCTGCAAGGGGACAAGCCGAAACAGGCCTTCGATGATAGAGCTACGGCACCCCTGGATGATTCCACTCCGAACTTGCTGGGAATCGATTTGGACAGCCGCCTGATCATACTTGATTGTCTCCTTGTCAATCGTAATCGCCGAGTCATAGACAAGAAACAGAAACATTTTGGCGAAGTCGAGCTCGAAGGTCCGGCTCAAGATATCGATTATCTCGAATATGGACATTACGCTCTTGTTAGCTTTCCTTGCCTACCATGCACGACCAACCAGTTAGAAATAATACGCACAAAGGGCCCAACCTCGATTGCAGGAGCACAAATTCTTCGAGTGTGCCGCCAACTCTATCGCGAAGGCGTCCCTATTCTGTACGGCAAAAACAGCTTCGTCTCGAGCAATGGCCGATCTTTTAACGATATCTGGCGAAGGGCCACTCCGTTGAACACATCCTTGATCAAGAATCTCACAGTAGACATATCAATCAGGAACACGGACGACATAGGTATCGAACTTGAGCTCAACATCAAGTCCTTGGAGCAAGATCTACCGTCTCTATGCGAACTCACTTTGATGTCCAAGTTCGCCGACCCTCACAGACAACGGCATGGAAAACCCCCTCATACCAAGCTCGAGGCAAAACACCGCACAATACTGTGCACGGCAGTGGATATTGCGCTTCACCATGCAACGTTGGGAACGGCAATCTGGGATGCGAGGTCCCGGCGAATGTCCCCGGACGAGCTTATTGGCGGTCTACTTGCTTATGAAGAAGATCAACACCAACTGGCAGTCAGGATCCTTGCGAGGGATCACGCTGTAAAACTCAAGGAGCACCGGAGACAATACCCCTTGCCAGGGAAAGAAGAGGTCATTACCAAGGTAAGTACATTCGCGGGCTATTCTCATTCGCTTTGTCTGGTTGTAGTTGATGCTGATGACCTCTTCTAGGATTTCGTGCTCGATTGTCACGCAATCACCCAGGTCAGACTGGCACATTTGATTGGAATGAGTCCTTCGGATTTTGCTCTCCCTGATGGAAGCTCAGCCGCAGTGATCCCTGCCTCGTAGGATTTTAAGGATTCTATGACCCGAAACGGCGGGGCGCATGGTGATTGAAGAAGCAGTTGATGTCGTCTCTTGCAATGACAAGTACACGTTTATGATATCGGAATGGGGCGCCTAATTGTGGATTCACGAAGATTGAGAATCGAGCTGGCCTTCGTGGTGTGTGGTTGCCAAGAAATCCGATGCTTTTGCCTTCACTGTTTGCAGCAGATCCAGTTACAGGATATGGTTACAGCTCTGGTGACCGCCCTGGCAGAGAAGGTAGTATAGGCATAATAAAGCTGGATGAGAAGTCTGCTATGAGGTTTACTGTTGTACCAAAGGACCGTAAATTAGCTTATGTCTGGCATCTACCAATCCAAGGCCATATGCTTTCTTTTCCGCTTCCGAAGCCATGACCATTCTCGATTCCATAACTCAGTCAGGTGACGTAGCCGTACTTAACCGTATCTAACATCCTTAATGAACCGTCTGCCAGGTGCTCTGATCACCAGATCCGGCCAAACGAGGGCAAAAATTCCTGGTTATGGCGCGGAGCGGAGGACTGATGTCCTGTATGAAGCAACCACCGTGCCGTACTCGGGTATCTGAAAGAGTTGTAAGGGTGGATAATCACCGAATCTCGTTGAAGCCTTTATCCCCTCCGTAGTCAATGCCTCGATTAGCGCGTCTGGTACATAAACTCTTGAGTACAGATAAGGTTGACTCGCAGGATTTTACTCCATGAGCATTCGATATAGATGCATCTGAGATACATCATTTCAAAGAAGGGATCAGAAAGCCCTATTTGTGAAGAGGGTGGTGTCGTGGATGTGCGCTGGGGAAATGTGCCTGGGCAGCATTTGTGGTACAAGACATCAGATCAAGGGCGAAGTCCATAGGGAGTGTGTGATTGGAGGTGTGAAAAGGTAGGAGGAATGTACGGTCCAATCTTCCAATGTAGACTGCACAGGGTGCTATTCAGGAGGGTGGTGCAACTCAGAGCATGCAAACGCAATACTGGACTTTCCCAGCAAGTTAGCCGACTCTGACTCCTCTCACATTGTATCTTCCACGGAGAGTGGTCCCTGCCGGCGGAGGTCTTCCGGACATGAATTCGCGCAGACCCTCGCAGGTTTGAGGAATCCTCTGCAGGTGAGACAGAGAGGTGTATGCGAGGAACCCTTGTATGAAAGCTAGCCGGACACTAACCCAACGGAAGGCATCTTGGACCGTCGAATGCGTTTCTGAACCGGGAGAAAACGATATGGCCGGATTGCACAGTAGCTTTTCAAAACACCAGAAACAGTATTCGGCATTTGCCTGCTGGAAGAAGTCCAGTATGAGTTCCAGAGCAGTGGAATCGAGAAGATCGAAATGGAAGGTCTCAATGGTCCCGATGGCCTCCATAGTAACAATAGACTGAGATTGGGCTTTTTTGGTTTCTGTTGAAGAAAGGCTGTCGCGTTGATTTGTTCGTTGGACTGAATCTGGTTTGAGCTCATCAGGTATCAATATAATCAGAGGTTCGAAAAAGTAGATTATGGCCTGAGCGGCCCGTTTGATGTCTCGTCCAGTATAAAACGGATCGACTGTGACATTTGTGATAGCAAGACACTCAGGATCGCTCTGTATCTCATACTGGGCTTTAAGATATCTCAACGGTTCTTGAATATCTTTTTGCCAGGGTGAGCAAGGGTGGAAATTTGGTGAGTAGAGCATAATACTTTCTGAAGTATACTTGTTAGTTGACTTGTAATGTGCGAGAATATTGGGGTGAAAGTAACTTACGTGGCGAATTGAAAGTAGGTGGATCGCCTACATAACCCTCCACCACCCATTCGTTCAGCTCAGACTCAGAACTATTAGCCACAATGCGCTGGGAGCTTGTCTGATTGTTGTAATTCTCTGCGAGTTGGTCTAGAAAGCTTTCCATGCTAACCGGTATAGGATGTGATTCGAATCTGGGGGCAATGTTAACCACTATGATAATGCTAAGCTCGACTAGGCGGCCTCCAGTCCGAACAAGAGTCTCGAAAGGGTCAAATGATCGTCTTGTAACTGACGCTGTGCCTGGTATAGGAGTTTCTGCCACTTCTTGACCCGCTCGCTGAAGCTGCACACTATTCGCTCCTGCAGAGCCATGTCTTGCCTTCTCGTTCGATTTTGATATTTGTCCACCTGCCGTTGAATGAGCTGGCTGATATAACATTGGTCTAGCTTTGGGACTGTGCTGAGGTCCGCGGGGCCTGGCCAATATAGTCTGCTGTTCAAGAGAACGATCTCGAGGGCTAAATTGAGTTCCTTCCCCGCGCCTGGGTAATGTATTGTGTTGTATAGCAAAACAATTTTGAGCATTATATTCAATCCCTGTACTACGAGGCCATGAGTAGACGGTCTGTTGTCCAGTCAAATCTCGCTGAGGAGCCAACGGATGCTCTTGTCCTCTTGGGGCGGCAGCTGGACGAATAGTATCCCGTTCACTCTGCTCTCTTTGTTGAGTCTGTTGATCTCTTTTCATATGCGAGGTTGCTGGCCCAGTTATCCGAGCCGTACCAGTGCTTTGTTGGACTTGCCCAGTTGATGGTGGTACTGACCGCTGGGGACGTCTCCGTCGCCTAAGATGTACCGGGATACAGCCACAAGCGTTGCCTTCTCGATCGCCACAACCAAGGCATGGCATCTTATACTCAAATGATTGGTAGTATAAGAGAGCAGTGAAATATGTGGGGGGGGGGAGAGGGTAATGTTTAAACCGTACTTACCTCCAAGCACTAATTTACAAAGGAAGGAAGTGAAGCACCTTGGGATGATGATGACGGTGATTATATCTGAGTCTCTCACGTGTCCGCAGTTCCGCAATTCATGTAATGTGTAAAGGGGCAGGATATTAAACCGGTTTATTATGAAACGCGATATGCTCTGGATGTTTTAGACACCCACTCTTATGCAATTTCAAACATGGCCACTCCTTACAATAGATAAGCTAGCAGGGAGTTCTTCTGTGAGGGTATAGTTTGCGAGTCGGGACACATTTCAGCAGATACTTAGTGCTGCTCACTGTTCCAAAGCAGCAACGGGACCACTGAAAATTCTTTCGGCAATCCTTGCAGAACCAGTTATTTGACGACGAAGATGAATTAGACAGAGAAAGGCAGGCACAGAGTTCTGAGAGATAGTTGGGAGACTCATGGTTTGGGAAAGTCCTTTCTCGCCTCCTTAGCATCCCTTGAGAAGATGTTAACTGCAGGCTAGACAGACTACGTTCTGTTCTCAGCATCCCTGTCCGTTCTAGATCGACGAGGCTAGCCGGCTAGTGACTCCAACTGATGTCGAGTCCTGAGTGTCTAATGTCACACATGTGCGACCTACCAAGCCCTGGAGCTCTAAGGACCAAGATCAATAACTGGCCTACAATAAATTAACGTATTTTCAGGCACATATTGTTTTCTATACTGACTCTTCCGCAGTACGATAAGAGTACATTAAAGACCTCCGACTTGGCCCCCACAATTGCTCTTAAAACCGCTGGGTACTCTACTTCAGAGTCAACACATGACACGAAAGATGATGAGATCCGGACATTTCTATCGGAAACGGGACCGGCTATCCTAAAACGCGGATCAAGTTCGTGTGTCCAGGTGTTACTCTCTCTTTCACGCGGCAAAATCTGCCCGAACTGGAAGGCTAAGGCACCCTGACAGATTTCGTGGCCATGTTGGCTACCGGAATCTTGCCAACAAAATGCCATGAAAATTTGTCCGTGGTCCTTGGGCCCTGGGTCTTGCTGGCTTATTTGTGGGACCGAAGGACCCTGGGAACTAGTTGCTCACCGGAGCCACATTAGGTGCAGACTCATGTACCCGAGAACCAGGCTTCGGGAATGTGTAGTTGACCACTACAGGTGGGCGATTGTAGATTGATACAAGGGGGACCAGGGGCTTGTGCAAAACTGTAGATTTCTGGGAAAATGGAGGGATAGAGCATAGCCAAAGCATGCAGCGGTTGGTCCTTTGAATCCAACAAACCCAGGACAAGGGAAGGGGAAGGGAGGAAGTTGACAAGGCAATTCTAACCGTAGCAGAGATGTCTGAAGCCATGAGTTTATGCCATACGATCCATAAAAGCAGCTGGTCTCGTTTACGCACCCTTTACTGGCGTGGCTACCTGCCTGCTGTATGCACCAAGACTCCACTCGTTCGCACGCATGCCCTGTTCTCTCTCCTTCCCTCCGCTTCCCTCACATAACCACACCACTATTACTTGCAATTCTCGGCCACAGCTCCGCCGCCTCCTTCCCCACTGGCCCCGTAATAGCACTCCCCTTCATCTCCCCCTTCGGATTCACAATCACGCCCGCATTATCCTCAAAGTAGAGATACACCCCATCTGCCCGTCTCCAGGGTTTCGATTGGCGCACCACCACTGCTGGCATCACTGCACCAAACACACAGTTCCATTAGCAAAACCCCTTCAGCCGATGCAGTGCTGTAGATGTAGGAAAGAAAGGCAAGCCCTACCTTTCTTCCTCAGCTCAGGCTTTCCCTTCTTAACCGTAGCCATCACCATATCGCCCACCCCAGCCGCAGGGAGTCTGTTCAATCGCGCACCGATGCCCTTGACGGAGATGATGTAGAGGTTTCGGGCGCCCGAGTTGTCGGCGCAGGACATGACTGCTCCGCTGTTTGCAGAATACCCCAGGGATTTTTGTTAGTCAAGTTATTTTCTGTTCTTGCTTAATCGACCGATGACGATCATGTGAGGTCGCCATGATATGTACGGTACAGGAGAGAGAGCCGAGGTGCAGACATACACAGGGAGACCGAGAGTCATCTTTAATTTGTTGCCAGAGGCACCACCACGACTAGGAGAAGAGAGAGAAGTCAGTATTTCTCGGGTGTAAAGGTAGCTTCAAACAGCGAATTTGGGAGGGAGAAGTGATACGTACCCTCGTTTCGACATGTTGGATAGTAACTTCTTGAACTGCTGGAGGCGGCTAAACGACTGACGGTATCGGTGTCAAAGCACGGCATTGATATCAAAGTGTAACAAATTGGTTGTGGGCTGCCAAGAGTTGTCACCTGCTAGCGCAATTTTCTTCATATAGTCACGTGCAGAGGGAAAAAAAATGCTGGCTTTGTGGTAAGGAAGTTGATTGCCCACTCCATTCAGTGCATTGAGAATGAGAGTTTTCTTAGCTAATTCTAGTACGGTAGTATACATGAAGATGCTGTGCTTGCTACTTAGCTATCCGAAGTCTCGTTTTTGTTCGGATGGAATCGAGTTCTACATCCGATCCCAAGGCGTGCCAGCCATCGACATTACCCGGGATATCATCCACAACGCCTCGCTCATGTGAGAATCCTAACTTTGCAATCGCGCCAATCATATCATGCACTTTAGCTTGACCCATCGCTAAGCAAATGATCAGCTTATTTTCGAATCGTGTTCAGCTGCAGCTTCCCCTTCAGCGTTTTGAACTTCTCGGTCGGCCAGACCTTCGCCTTGAGCTACTACTGCTGCGTCTTCTGCCGTCATCTCGGTTTTTATAGTTGGACCTGCTGCTCCTGATGTCTCACCATTTGTTGATGATTCGGTTGTGGCAAACCCGACTGGGGAGTAAGGTGGAGTCACGGCTTGCTGTACATTGGCTGTATGCTGAGCCACGATTGTACCACTTGTATCTGTAGGAGGTTCAGCAGCTTCGTTACCAACATCCTCCATGGCCACATCCTCCTCTTCGTTCGCAGGCTTCGTAGATGGTACGACTGAGGCATCCATGTCACCGTTTGCAGCATTTGCAGGCGAGGCTGTGCTCTGTTCTTGCGTCTTTGCAGGCTCGACATCTTCGACATTGACGTCTCCATCCACATCGTTTTCCGGTATGGAGGAAGCAGCTTGTGGTGTTGCTGCTCCGCTCGTGATGGCAGAGTCTCCGTTCCAGTCCGTCAAGTTTCGATAATCCAGCCTATTTCTTCGTTTCCGAATGCCGGGCTGTTTGCGAACGCCGTTGGCTTCGTTCATCTCCTCATCTTCACTGTCACTCAGTTCTCCAGGTTTCTCAATATACTTGTTGAATCGATGTTGTGTATTTCGCTTATCCGGGTTCTGATCCTCGTCTAGATCATCGAGTTCAGCTTCATCTTCTTCGTTCATGGCCATTGAATCTCGAGGTACGTCTGTCATCTGTACAGAAGGCGCAAATGTCGTGCGCCGTAGATTTTCGATGACTTGAGTGCGGATCTTCTCCAAATATTCCTTGGAGTTGGCGTTGTCCATGTTTGAGGCCCTAACATTCAATTCATAGTCAGGTGCATAGTACTGTTTCGGTCAGTAATGTTTGTTTGTAATTTTCATGGAAATGTTACATACCTCATAGTAGTCGTTGTAGGGTAAATCGCTTTGCATGTTTTGACCAACAAGCACACCAGTCTCGAATGCCCAAGTCCGCGCTACGTTGCGCATGGTGTACCCTCCACCGCCCAAAATCAAAGTGGGAAGGTTGTAGCTTTTGACGAAATTGACGCAATTAGCGTGTCCCTCCATACTCAGATTAAAACATCCTAATCGATCACCAGAAAGACTGTCACCACCACACTGTAGAACAACTGCTTCCGGCCTGTACCAATCCATGACAGCCTTAATGACGGGCTCGAAGATTCCTTTATAGGCTGCATCGTCAATGCCATCCCTTAAAGGAAAATTGACGGAATAATATTTCCCTTGCCCAACCCCAATATCTCGAAGCTCGCCTGTTCCAGGAAAGTATTCGCCGTACTTGTGGAAGGACACGCACATGACACGATCGGTTGTGTAGAAAGCTTCCTCAACGCCGTCTCCATGATGGACGTCGATATCGATATACAGCACCCGCTGCTTGAATCGGAGAAGCTCAATGATACCAAGAACGATATCGTTGATGTAACAGAAGCCGCTTGCTTCGCTTTTCTTTGCGTGATGCAAGCCACCTGCCCAGTTGATTGCTACGTCGGCTTTTCCACGGTTTAACCGAGCGGCCCCCTCCATGCTCCCACCAGCACTAATCGCACAAAACTCGAAGAGGCCATCAAAGACCGGACAGTCGTCACCAACGTTGAATTTGGTTTGCTCTTTTGCATATGAGTCCATGTTGTCAGGCGTGACCTTCTGGAGGAATTCGACATACTCGTCGGTATGAAACTGTGTCATCTCAAATTTCGAGGCTGGCTTTGCCCGGTAGATCTCCATCTTTTTGTACATGCCATAGTTCATGACCAGACTATGTGCCATCCGAATTCTGTGCGGCTTCATGGGATGGCCAGCAACATAGGCATAATTCCCCACGTCTGAATCGTAGAAGTATGCTACTCTTTTCTTGTCTCCGCTCCCTCCATTCAGGTTCGCCGTGTCGACAGGGGCAAAGAGAGCCATGCTGTGTGTAGATCTGCAAGCGGATACAGAGGGGTGGAAGTACTCCCCGGAGGTGAGAAGGGAGACGGTTTCTTGAGGTTTTGATCAGAATGTTGCTGCAAAACTTCGATCGATGACGGCAGAGTGAAGTTAGATTGAGGTTGGCCGCCTGGTCTGCTCGCCCACCACAAATGCTCAGCTGCTCAAATCTGAGGAAAGCGTTCAGAAGATGGGCAGAGAAATGACGAGCAGGAAGATGTGCAACAACTGTCGGTATTGTCGGAATTATTTTGCAAGAGCGTATAAAATATGGGTAGAATGATCTTTGAGCATGTGTTGTACAAGGTGGACCTTAGAAGGGTAGAAAAAGCGGGAGATGAGTATTTGTGCAAGGAGAGAACGCCTACACAAGCGGTAGATATGCGTATTAGAAAGGGTCACAGTGAGATGAAGACACCGGGTCACAGAGCGGAGATCGAGCGTGAGATATGGAAGATAGTTGTCGACAAGAAGTGAGTTTGGGGAGACATGAGAGATGCGGAGAGTCCACAAGGGACCAGGGACCAGGAGCTCAAGGGAAGCATGGTGGCTTGACCCAAAATGGCTAGTCTTTTTCTGATTCATGAAGGCAACTCAGGTACACGAATATCGAATATCGAATATCGTGACTGAACAATACTTTGATAATAATACCTGCCACCTCCCATTGCTCATCTCTTGAGTCAACACTGTTCCAGCCTCAGTACCGGAGGAAAAGTCAACCAGAAGGATCGTCCATATCTTAGGGCCATTGGTGAACAGAGTCGAGTAGGATCTCAGCTTCGTTTCTGAGCTCAAAAGCTCGTCGCATCCGCTACCTACCGCTACCTCCGCCCCAGTAATCACCATGGATCGCCTCAACCGTATGCTCGCTGCAGCTCAAAGCATGCCCGGCATGAATCAAGGCGCAGCTGGCCAGGACACGCCGAATCTTATCGACAACTCCGAAACCGTCTACATCTCATCTCTCGCCTTACTCAAGATGCTCCGACACGGCCGAGCAGGGGTGCCGATGGAAGTGATGGGCTTGATGCTGGGCGAGTTCGTTGATGACTTCACAGTTCGAGTGGTGGACGTTTTCGCCATGCCACAATCTGGAACAGGAGTTAGTGTTGAAGCTGTGGATCCAGTTTTCCAGACCAAGATGATGGACATGTTACGGCAGACAGGACGGTATTAATATTTGCCATCGTCACCGTATTCTTCTTGCTAACGAAAATAGGCCTGAAACAGTAGTAGGCTGGTACCATTCACATCCAGGATTTGGCTGCTGGCTCTCGTCGGTCGATATCAACACCCAACAATCCTTTGAACAGCTCACACCCCGCGCCGTCGCTGTAGTGGTTGATCCCATCCAGTCCGTCAAAGGGAAGGTCGTGATAGATGCTTTCCGCCTCATCGCCCCTCAAACCCTTATGATGGGCCAGGAACCTCGACAAACAACCTCCAACCTGGGCCATCTCAATAAACCCAGCATTCAAGCCTTGATACATGGACTGAATCGACATTACTACAGTATCGGCATCCAGTATCGAAAAACGGGCCTCGAGGAGAATATGCTCATGAATCTACACAAAGAAGTCTGGACAGAAGGCCTGGAGCTGCCAGGCAGTTTTGAAGGAGAGAGAAAACGGAACGAGGAGGGCTTAAGGCAGTTAGTCCACCTGGCAGAAGGTTACGAGAAGAGGGTGCGCGAGGAAGGAGAGCTCACTAAGGATCAATTGAAGACGAGATACGTTGGTAAAGTTGATCCCAAGAAACGTGAGTTCACCCTTGTATAATTGCCCGTATTTGTATATGCGATGCTGATGTATGTGGATAGACATTGAAGATGTGGGCCAACAGCTGATCGAAGACAACATCGTTGCTGTATCACGACAGATGATAGACAAAGAAGCCAGCAACGCAAAGAAGGCACAGCAAACGAATGGCCACCAAGAGAATGGTGGCATGGAGGTTGACGAAGAGTTATAGTAATCGTTGCTTGGTAGTATATCTCCATCCAATTCGTAGCATGCGGAGTGAGAGCGTGGCGTTGGGCAAAACAATATTAGCACAGCATGGACACACGAGCTCATCATCAACTCCCACTAGTATATTCGCCTCGTGCCGAAGCCGTGCCAACCTCAGGTAGCATCTCGTTTGACGATTGCGTCTCTGCCGTCCAGTCGTTTACATCCTCTGACTTAATCTCAGCCTGTAACCCCTCCCGATCAGCAGCCGACCAGCCCCTCTCCTTGCCCCATTTCACCACCCTCCCCTGCCCCTCAATCTCCGTCCTCAACCTCACCACAAGCGGCCCATCCATCTGCACGCTCGGATTGCCATCCAACTGCACAAACTCGACCTGCGGCATCGCCACCAACACAACCCTCAGCAGGTTGCCCGCAAACTCGGTATAAAAGCCATGCGACACCCTGAACCGCGCAAAGAGCGGATGCGACGGATCGACCTCCACAAACACCCTCAAGCACCTAACCCGACATAACTGTCTGAGTATCTTTGCCATGCGCTGTGTCACTTTCCATGATTTGGGGGGTGCGGTCCAGCCGGGACCGAGGATTAATTCGGTGTTGGTGATGAGGGAGCGGTAGCGGGGTGGGAGCTCGGAGACGGTGGGGAGGGGTTTGAACTCTTGGAGGGGAAAGAGCCGGAAGGTTTGGGTTGTGTAGAAGATGTAGGAGGCTTCGCGGTGGGTGCGGGAGGAGATTAGGTAGAGGGAGGTCGGCGGAGGGCGGTTGGAGGACGGTTTGCGGGATTTGGTGGGGCTGAAAAGGACAAGGGAGTAGATCCGGTTGCGGATCTCGGCCGGGAGGGAGAAGAAGGGGAATGGAGAGGTAGCAGGTGGTGATAGAGTCAAGGCTTTGATGGCATCTTCAATGCGTGGGCTGTTGAATGGTGCACTGTGGAGCTTTGTCACGGGTACTGGGAAGGCTTCCACGAGACCGTCATGCCATACAGACGCCATATATCAGATTGCATAGGTATATCACAGGTATGCGGCCGAAAATCAAGGATGGATTGAAGGTGAAAGGTAAAGGTAGCAGACGTCAGGTGGCAATGGATGACATGATTGCGGAGATGTCTCGAAATACCAACGGGACAGGTCAGCTCATTGGTGACCTAGCTGCTGTTCTTGAGAAGTATGAGTGTCATTCTCCCCTGCTAATACAACTCCTCGAACATAAATATGGCTGTGGACGAAGCGTCAAAAATGTCAGGGCTATTCAACTTTCTTTATGGGGAAAGGAAGAAGAGAAAGGAGAAAGCGAGTTTGTCAGCGAGTGAATTTGTATTCAAGAATTCAAGAATTGGGCTGCCGGTGCTAGCACCAACACAGCCAAGCGCCTCCAACACCACAAACTCCACAAACTCCACACCTGGTCCAGATCGAACACATTCTCCAACGGTAATCATTACATCTTGCCCCTTTCATGTGCCGGCCGCCAGTGACACCTCATCGTTGCCTGACCAGGGCGTCCATCTAGCGGAAGCGACCACCACCCCGACCACCTCTCCGCCTTGCCTGGACGAATTGGATGCCAAAGAGGCCGGTAACGATCCAAGCAATGCCGCTGATAAAACAGAAAGCCTCAACAGCTTTCCAGTTCCTGCAGAAAGTCCCGTTGCCCGAGCTGAAAAATGATCCACAGTTGTTGCTCTGGTTGATTGCCTGGAGGATAAGGCCAAAAGAAGCCCACCAGCCACCTGACGTGACAAAGTCTGCAAGCCATGGAATTTTATGAGCCATGGATGGAACAAGCCAAAGTACGCTGAGTATAATTGAGAGACATGCCCAGGTTTCGGCGAAGATGAAGCGCTTTGCAGGCCAGGTCTTGCTCTGAGCGTAAGGGTAGATATAGTAGCCTATGATAGCAGTAACAATCTGGGAATCATCAGCGGTGTGGAATGTTTTGACATAGGTATACTCACAATTGCAGAGAGGAGCTCTACCGCACGGAGCGCCATAGAGACGGGCCGCGGAATAACGATAGTGTGCATCGAAGGCATGCTGAAGATGTTTGTGAGGGTTCTCTTCCTAGTATGAATGGATGTGTGGGGACTGGATATGGAGCTGTGAAGCAGTAGATAAGAATGTTGGGTAGAGGAATGGAAAGAAGGATGAAGGATTGGGACCGTGGAATCAATACATATATGGCAATTGGTTCATAGCTTGCTTCTGATAGGTGGTGGCTTGAACATAGAAAAGGTAAGCATAAAACACAGAACGTAATGTTGAGAGTTTGAAATTTGATAGCTGAAACGCCGACTTCCATAGATCTATAGACCGAATACTTTGGACTGCCAAAGAAAACATCATCTAATGCATTGCCATCGAACTCCTTCAGAGGCAATGGAGATAATATACATGAAGCAAAATGAAGATGGTAGTGTACCAAGACTTCGCCAAAGGACAACATCATTCAGCTAGAACAGGAACCAAAAAGCTGGCTCACAACTTGAACCCGGTGGGAAGTATACAGTTCTGGAAAGGTGAGGTACTGGGGCCCGTCGGAACCTAAATAGATAGTCTGAGCATATATCGTCACACCATGCCCTTGGATAACCTGATATAACGAGTGCAACCATATCGGTTTCAGGGGAGGCATCGTTCAAGAAATGTCAGAATGTGACCTGCAATGGTTTTGCAATGGATTAAGCAAATTGATTGATCTGATTGAGTATGCTGTTCGGAGAGGTTGCAGGAGAGCAACGGTGGAAGCTACTCTATGAACGCCAAGCATAACAAGCACGTGACATGACCCTGTTTCAGACCTGCGTCAGTGCTAAGCTGCACAAACTGGTGCAACTTCATCCATCTCATCTTGCCCACTGTGGTAAGCTGGATTGCTTTCCAGGTAGAATGATGACAGTGGATGTATCTAAGGCCGGATAAGCTGACTGGTACTATGCAGTACATAGTACTTCAGTACTACTTAATGTAGTCGTGGTGATCCTCCTTGGCGCCGCTGAGCTTCAGGCTTGGCATGGTTTTTGCGGTCGAGTCTTAACTAAATAGGAAATTTGGAGAAATATTGGAATCCTCCTGATCACGTTGTCCAATTGATTGCATCATCCTGGGTGCACGCATCCTCCGCTTCAGTATTCTCCTAGACGTCGTCCCTACCATGACGTGATCCAAAAGGTGATGCTAGGTCGCGCGCTGCTGCCTCTTGCGAGGCCGAGGACACTTACTCCTGCAATAAGAATAGCTCTTTCTACAGCCCAGAAAAGGTCGTACGCCAGAGAAAGGAAACCGAAAATACAAAGCGAGCAGAAGCTTACCGCTTCGACTCCGGGGTCTCAATGGCAGACCCAACCTTCCGCCGCAAATAGTGTACCTGCGCAAAACATTCCCTCCTCCAACAACTATACAGATACGCAGCCAGAATTTGACACTTCCAAGAAGTCTTCCGGAGACGTTGCTCCACCTGCAGAAGAGCCGTCTCTTGTCAACGGCGGCCAAAGGAAAGATCAAACAAGCAATATCACGCCAGAAGCAGATGCATTTGAGGAAGAACTATCGAATAGCAACAGAGACCCACAGCAACCTCTACCAGACCTGACGAAAGGCATTCCATCCACACTCGATGCTGAACTCAAGCAGGCGCACTCGCGAGGACATGAACCTCCGGCCAGCCTCAACACTACGGATGACCCTGCTGAGCCCATCCCGGGCAGCGGAGGTGGAGGTGGGGGCCGAGGCAGTGATGGTCTTCCCAAAAATGCTTATATCTCTTCTAACGAGCGGAAGAAGAACGCCCTGATCAAGTATACGTATCTTGTGGTGGCTGGAGCATTCGTTGGATGGACATTATACCTTGGACGGAACTGGGAGTCAGAGGAAGAGGAAAAGAAGCACACAGATGCGCCATCTGGTTGGGGATTGGGTCTGTTCTACAATCGTGCTAGGGCACGTCTGGGCGCAACACTTAGTTATTACAACGAACCAGCATTCCCGAAACTTCTACCAGACGAAGAGGCAGATCCGAACCTACGAGCACCTTTTACACTGGTTCTGAGTCTGGAGGACTTGTTAGTTCATCAAGAATGGACAAGGGAAAGCGGCTGGCGAATTGCCAAACGCCCAGGCGTTGACTACTTCATACGATATCTTAGCCAGTACTATGAGTTGGTGTTGTTCACGAGTCAACCTAGTTTTATTGGGGATTCAGTGTTACGAAAACTTGATCCTTACCGCATTATTAGGTGGCCACTCTTTAGAGAAGCAACGCTTTACAAGAAAGGCGAATATATCAAGGTAAGCTTTGTTCTTTCGTCTTTTCTGCAACACCTAATGAATCCAGGATCTCTCCTACTTGAATCGCGATCTCTCCAAAATCATCATGATCGACACTGTCCCGAGCCATGCCAAACACCAACCGGAAAATGCCATTATCCTCCCAAAATGGACTGGCAACCCCAATGACCAAACACTTGTTCAACTCATACCGTTTCTTGAATACGTCGCCACGATGGGTTTCGATGACGTACGCAAAGTCCTAAAGTCCTTTGAAGGCACCTACATCCCCGCCGAGTTCGCCAAGCGCGAAAAGCTCCTACGAGAAAAGTTCGAAGCACGGCTAGCTGAGGAACGGAAGAAGAAGCCCAAGCGTAGTGTTGGTGGCATCGCCTCGGTCTTTGGCGTCAAAGGTCAGCCAGCTCCGGATGGCATTGATGCCAGTGCATTAGCCGAAGGCGAAATGCTATGGGATCAAATCAGGAAAAGAGGCCAAAAGCAGTACGAGCTTATCGACAAACAGATCAGAGAGGAAGGTCAGAAATGGCTGGATGATATGGCTGCAGAAGAAAAGAAGCTTCAGGAGGAATCGATCAGCAGTATGAAAGGATCCTTCCTGGGATTCTTTGGCGTGGGTGGCAGTGGCGGCGAGAAGAAATGAGCTGCGCTTGTGCTTTAAGTGTGACCTTGCACGCCGCAACGGTCCAACCATTCTACTCAACTCGAGTCAATTCTCTGCATGGTGGGCAAGCGATAGGAGCATGTGATGTATCATACCCTTGTAAAATATTCTGGTTACCCAGCTGATCACAGCTTCTTTGCTCGATTCTTCCCTCTGTCGTTCTACAATCTCCATCTCTTTATCTTCTACTGCTTTTCCACGTTCATACCCTACATATCACATAATTCCAAAGAGCAAGAAGAGTATACGATCCACTGACAACTGGCAAGGGAACACCATTTAGCACTCAAACTAACGTTGCCAAATATACCTCTACCGGAAATGCGCTCCATCTCAGCAGCAGCAACTCCACTGCCTATCTCGAGAAGATTCCACGCTTCTAACCACAACGCCAGCCCGTCTCGCACAAACCCAGCCGGGGCTGCCCCGGCGCCCCAACCCCTACCTCCCCGGCCCCATGGCAGCGATCAAAGCATCCTGTTCCCGAATCGCCTTGTTCAGCTGCTGAATCCAGCCGGGCCCGTCGCTACTCTCCTCGTCCTCGGTGTCGAGAAACTCCCCGAGCGCACT